GGGGGGGGGCATTAGTTCTGGGAGGAATAGCTACCCTAGCTTTCTCCATAGATAAGATATACGCTTCTTGTGATACGATGGGGTTGCCAGGTTCCGCGCAATGGTTCGTAGAATGATAACTGAACTGACAATTCAAACGCTCTGAGGTATACCCGAATGTCCTTTTTAACCTGCCTTATTTCGAGCATGCGAGAAGGTATTTTTATGAAGATCTACTGAATTGCGAATTGAATTTGTCATGGTTAAAGTAGACATTAAAGTTGGTTGGTTTTCAGGAGGTTGAATAACATAAAAACTCTATTTTAACACACTCACCTTGAAACCTTTTGAAATGGTCAAAATTTGAGTGGGTGGCAAATTGTCATGACACAAGACCGTCTATCTGTACGCATTTGCACACAAGCCTTAGTTAAAGATCTGCCACAGGTTTTTCTGAGAATATCTGCTTCAACCGTCTTTTTAAGCCAATATCTTGCTGCTTTCTCTTCAGGCCCTCTATCTAATTGCCACGAATGGCAAACCAGAAATCAAAGATGCGGACAAACTCAGCTCTGATTTCCGGGATTTCCTCGACTGCTGCCTTGAAGTTGACGTTGAGAAACGCGCAACTGCTCGCAGTCTTCTCAAGGTGAGGAATTTATCAAGTATTGGCATTTTCTTATAAAATTGGAAGTGAGAAGGACCCCATAGCATGACGTTTGGTTTGAAACTTAAATTGTACACAAATATTCGTCTGCAGTTTCTCAAAGCATTCCCAACTCCATTGTAGAACTATAGACTTAACTCTTTGTTACAAATTTTGGGAGGTTTTTGCTGCGTTCTAAAGGTATACTTCTGTAACTATTCATTGCGCCTTTACACTTGCAAAATTGATCTTTGAACCTTGGAATGTGCCGATCTTATGCGAATATTGTGTTGGCTATCTGAAAAGTGTATCTATCTAGGAACTTATTGACGCGGAACAGAGAAAAATGAGAAATGGAGTCACACATGACAGCTACGTATTTAGATTTGGTGGTATTGGAGAGATTGCGCGGGTTACATAACCCATTTTCTGAAAAGTGGCTGCATTTCAGAGTAAGGCTAAATATGCATGAATTGGATCCTGGGAAAAAGTCTGCATGAGTCTTAAAAGGAGAGGCATGGGATATGGACGTGACAGAGTGAGCTGCAAGAGTTGGTCAATAAGCCTGTTATTCGATAGGTGCTGAACCCCTCCTTTGTGGCAATCGAACCGACCACGGAGAGAGTTTTGCACACTGCACGGACCACCATTTTTTGGGTCCTATGTTCAATCGAATTTAGACCGAGTGATTATTCTCTTCTGTTGTTTTATGGCAAGTGGTGTGGTGTATATGGCTTCAAAGTGATGCGTACTGGAGCAAAAGTAGCTCACACAAGAGATGAGAGCACATGGATCACGTCTTCATAAGTGCTCAAAACAGCAAAACCTACATTAGAGTTACCAAGGGAATTCGCCTCAAGGAGAAAGACATTAGAATTTCATTGTTTTCACGAAGAACGCATTTAAATGAGGCTTTAGATACACAATCGATTGAATTAACCCAGAATATACTTAAATAATTATTTTGGTTTTCAGCATCCATTCATCACCCGGCATTCAAAGTCGGTTTCCTGTCTGGTTCCTCTCATACTGGTTGCTAGGGAGCAAGTGACCGCACATGCCCAGGAATGAACGGCAAGTTCTCCTCCTATTCTTCCTAAGAGTTCGATATTGTATAACCAATTTACAGAGGCTGCTCCGTTACTCACCGTCTATATCACTCTTGGTGCCAGCTGTTATGTCTTCTTTGTCTCTTCCCCTTGACGCCTGTATAGAATATCTACTAACGGGAAGCTCATACTATTCAACAGTCAATAAGAGTTTTAATGTGCTTCCTATCCCTTTCTTGGGTTCCCTTTACCATTTAAAGGTCATCCAGACGTTGTTAAGCCAATACGACTCCCTTATGCCATGTACCTCTTTGTCGCCATAATTATCCAACGCTACCACATTTTGGTGGTGGAAGTGATTGTCTTTTTCTTTTAATCTATATCTTCTTCTCTCCCTTCTTGGTACTTGCCTTTTATTTTCTTTTCTCTTTAACTGTGTTCAATTACAACTTGTTTTTAATAATTATGTGGACAATGAAGAAAAAAGTCATTATCTTCGGAATACCACCGTCAATTGCTAGGATAAACATAGCGACCGATATTATACCTCTAAAGTTGAAAATAGTGAGGATCATTGCAGGTGTCAAATTAAATTATGATCTCGTATAAGTTATTTCAGAAATAGTACATAAGGTTAGTATGGCTAGGCAAACGCCGTTTGGAAAAATATCGGAGTTATAATCAACCTCAAAAGCGAATTTACACTAATACACTAGTACACTAATAAACGATAATCTTATAAATATTCGAAATATATTCCTTGTAAAAATCGCTTGTCTTGGTTAACAGTAAATACCGATTATAAATGTGATTCAACAAATGCACAATTGTGTGGGTAACAGTTTGCATTTTTAAATAAAAGACATTCTTAGAAATTTGAGTTGTATTCACTAATTCGTCACCCAATCAAAATAAGACATTGGGTTGTTGAAAAAGTGCTAATTTAGTAAATTAAAATGAGTACAAAAATAATAACATTATAAAATTATTAAGGTAATGTTTGAATGATAACATTCTTACTTAATAAAAAGATTAAAAGTTTGTGATCATATTATATTTACATCGTTTTTTAAGAATTTTGAAAGTAATTCCAAAATACATGCTATTTAAAAATCGAGCAGTTGTTAAAATGTACCAAGTCTGTAATATAACTATTGTCTTTAGGACGTTGCTTTATAAGCGCTCGTTGTTTGAGCTCTTAACCATTTTTAACATGGTGTTCTGACTTATAGTTAAAGGTTCGTGTTAAATTTTACATTTTTGTTAGCACTTCTGTGACATATTATTAGTTGGATTTGCATATGGTGAGCTCTCCTGAGTACTTTATTTTCACTTTTTATTAATTCACAAATACAGTTCTTTCAAATCAATCTCCATAAACATAACTTTCAGGCTTTAAAGCCATCTTCAAAAAAGGCAGTCATGATGACCGACAAGGTGGCGCTAAATGTCCCTCTCCAAGTCAGCCAAAGGATAGTCTCCCTACTGTCGATTCTAAGCCTTCTGCCTCGATTTAACATACGAAATAATCTCCCGACCACATCTTGAATAGTGTGCTAACTATTGGTTGCTTTATAGTTATGACGAACGCAATCAAAACAGTATAACTACTGTATTTGCTTTCTGATGTTTTCTGAAGCTTCTGTGTATTGGCATATTATTTTTCAAGTTGGGACTTCAAAAACGGTTCTTCCCTGTCTTTATAAATACTTTAATTTAAATTGTGTTTTTGCTGATTTTATTCACGAATATCCCGTTTATTTTCTTCAAATCTGAATCTTTTCATTTTATCACTGTATAAAATCATCGTCCTTAAATTATTAAATATCTATTAGAATTATTGTGGCATATAGAACTGTATTATATTACGGTTGAAGATTAGTAGGGTTCGTTGGAAATTTGAACCTCTTTAATATATTTGAGAAGTGTGGTAATTAAATTATTGTTCATTAGCCATGACTTTATATATGACACAAAACACAGACCGATATATACATGCTTAAATGTTAATGCAGGTCGTTGCAACGGTTTTAGTCATATCAGTGGTTCCATCGACCTATCTTGTTCACAGTTACTTAAATTAGCTATTTAAAATACGTTCAAAAGATAAGTATGCAAGCAATTTATCGTTCAATTTTTTTGCATCACATTCCTTTATTTACATCACTTTTCGACAGCACTTCTACCTCAGTTTTACTGTAAACCTATGAGAATAAATGAAAAATATGTTGGCTAATATTGACACTATTTTTTTAAGCAGCATGATTCTTCCAGTACTCAACAACTCCAATTTATTAGTCTCAAATGGTGTGAGTACAATGATTGATTTTTTTGCCTGCCATTTAAATCTTTATTGCAATTAAGTAAAAGCACCTTTTCGTTGTATGCTCACGTTGAAACTTCACTCAATGTGCTGTTTCCAATTAATTAAATTATAAGGCATCTTTAGGTATTCTAAGTGGTGAACGACTTGGCAATATTAAAGGTATTAAAAACGGAGTTTTCTAAAAATGTTTAGGTCGACGAAAACGTAAAGAAGGATCTAGGTTCTTCTCTCCTTCATTGTGTTGGATTTACAAACCCTATTTCCCTATTTCGCAGCGCATTTAGGAAAATGGCGGGTTAGCGGAGAGGATATGCGTACAAAATTTGTGCATATCCGTCGTCCGTTATTTCGTTATGTTAATGCTTGGAAATATTTCCTACTTGAAGCTTGTCAAATTCATTCATTATCAATATTGGTTAGAAATTACATAACTCAAACAGTGGACTAAATAGATATATGACAACTCTTTAAATCGATTGCGAGGTATAAGAATATTAGGCTTTAACTTAATAATATCTAAAGGTGTGATGGCGTTTTAGCTGTAACGATTTAATGCTTCCTTTAGTCAGTAGGAGCAGGAGTTTTGTCTTTTAGATATAATATTTCATTTTGATAAGATTTAAGTGAATGATATGCGAGGAAATTGAAGAAATTTGTTGCTTGAAGCCGGTCTCTTCAATGTCCATTTGCTTATATGCAGTGGAAGAAGCAGTACCTCGCACTAGTTTAGTATTGAGGAATTTGAATTTTCAACGAGTTTTCCTGAGTGTTGGAAAACGATCTCCCTGAAATTTCCGGATTATTTGTTAATAAGTCCCAGATCGCATTACTAAGTTATGGGATATGACTGAGAACGTAAGCACAAACACCTCCACGTAAACAACCCACCAACAATTTCCCTTAAGTTGTATATCCCTTGATCCCAGCCGTTATGCATGAAGAACACACCTCCTATATTCCATCCTAAACCTGTTTTCGGCGAAGATTGTGGAAGTAGGACATCGCCTCACTTCAATAAAACCCTAAAGCTATACCGTCTATCCACATGCCCTATTCGAATCTGTCGTCTAAAAGATCTCCCACACCATCACTGTGATACTCCCTAATGGGAATTTAGCGCATCC